TGATTTATTCATATCTTATCTCTCAGCATAAGTAAAAACGTGCGGGAAAAAGAAGTATAAGCTTTACATAAGACCGATGTGAAAGCCATCTGGAATTGATGTTGACTCAGTAAATGAAAAAAGATTAAGCTCTTAAGCAGAAGTTTTTATTTGACAATGCCCTGAAAGCAAAGAAAAGTGATTCTGTTAGAAGTAAGCCAGAAATGGCAGCTGTCAACAACTCCTCCAACAAGAATTTTCTTCTTTTAGGACAAGTGTGTAAATTAGTCAGGTTCTTCGTTTTTTTGTAAAATTCGGTTGAAGTTTTTTGTCCAACTTTTAGACCTTGCCGACCAGCTGAGATGTTCTTTAGGTGTAGAACCATTAGATCGATATTTTACTTCTGAAAGACTGTTAAATACAGATTATTGTTCACTACTCAAGAATGAATCTACAGCTACTGAAACTTTCAACATAAATTATTTATAGGAAACTAAACCGAAGTGAATGGCAGTATTAATTTTCAAGAAGTTTGCCTCAGAATGAGAAGAAAGCATCGTTGAATTTCTTGCCTCAAAAGTTTGACTGATACGACAGTGTGAAGCTTCGCATTATTCAAATGTAATAAAACTGGTCCATCGCAAAAGAGTCTTCATTTTTATCGTCCATACCTGTTGTGTGACGACAGATGTGTAGCATTCTGGTCGACTCCAGAACGATATCAAATGTGAGTGAATTTTTACCAATGGTTAATATCTACTAGTTCATAGCTCAATTTTTCCCTTTTCCTTATAATTTTTCCTTGTTTTTCTCTCGGCATTATCTAAGTTTATCTAAATCATAAAGTTTCAGTTATAGTAAAAATAAATACATCTACCAGAGTTTAACATGGCTTTGTAACACCAACAAACTGCTGCCGAAGATGGCATATCGGGTAGACTACAATTACGTCCGCCAATATAAGTCTCAATTTAACTACGCCCTAGTCATACAGATATGCCAAACGCACAGCAAATACACATTAGAAAAATGTGTTTAGAGAAACGTCAAACAATTTTTAGAGTGGGAATGAATGTAAAAAAAAATGTATTGCAGTTCTGCTGGTCTTAACATCAAAAATTTTCGGCGAAGACATGGATCTTGAAAGTAGTTTTTGTTGTAGGTATTTAAGAAAATTATCCCCTAATAAGGTGTCTGGACATGATGGACTAAACGTTTTTCTAAAGCAGTGTGAACTGTGAAAAGTGGATACAAAATAATCGTTGATGAAGCGATTATAACCGTTTATCATACATTTCAAGTGCCATTTTTAAACTAAGCTAAGCAGTGTTACTAGTTTGTCGACCATAATCGCAACCATAACTACAAGTAAGAAACTGAGTCAAACTTGTTAGTTAGATCGTTTTTTGACGGTCAAAAGCAAAAAATCTCAGTCTTTCCACTGGGACTACTCAAAAACCGTCACTGAGCGGTCCAAATTAATATGTATTTTATGCTATAAGGACTGAGTTTTTTTGCCTCTAAACGTCTGCTGCTATTTTTTTTTGCGATTTGACCACAACGCCTGTTCTTTACCAATCTATAAATTTGCCACAGAAAAAACGACGTATCTTCCACAATTAAAGGTTTTTTGATCGCAGAATAAATTTAAAGGCCCTTTTGGCTTTGCTGTATGAAAGCACCAAGAAACCGTTAATAGAACTCAGCATCTAAGATATTGCTGGCAGTCTTTCAACAGAAAATTTTTAAACTGGAAGTTTTTTGTGCAAAAAATTAACAAAATAATTTGATAAAAAATCGAGATAAACGTGTTAAAAAGTAGATGAAAATGCCTCAAAAATTTTACTACTATAAACAACTTCGTTAAACTATCTTGACATCATTCAATCTGCATATTCAAACTAAACATTTAATTGCCGTTTTAAATAATGAACTGCAAGCTTCAAATATGTGAATTCATTAGACACAACACAGCCAAAAAAAACCGTCTAAGCCATATTAAATTGCACATCCAAAAGAAATTCTAAAGCCGTTATGTCACAAAAATCCTGATCTTTTCAAATGCTGTACCACGTATCGGTGCAGTGATACTGAATAGAATATTTCAAAAAAAAAAAAAAAAAACGATACTTTTTTGATAATAACCGCTCCTGCTGATTCCCTAAAATAGTTCTGCAGAGTGCTACACAAATTATCCGCACCGTATGGCGTCACTGGTTCTGATAAGAAGTAGAGCAAACAGGTTTTAAAACTAATTTGACAAATAACTTTTCATGAATCATCATTTTTAATACACAATAAAAGCAGTAAGATAGTAAGATATTCCGGATTACCAAATGAAATTACTTCTCAAATAATCTTTCAAATGGAATAAACGCGCAACTAGAATTTTGTTCAGCTTCACTAAGAAATTTAATAATTGCTGAAAAATTTTTTGCATTCATTATGGGCTTGCTCTTGAAAATGAAATTTGCAGTCTCTGTTGGTGCTATTCAGCAAAGATAAAAATAATGTTGTTTTAAACACACAACAAAATTGACTAATTTTACTATAAAAAGTAATCTGCAAACAACGTAAAACATTGAAAATAATTGTTGAAGGAGACAATACCTTCCAGTGGATCGACCTATTCTGTTCCTAAATCTTCTCTCAAAAACTGTAAATAATCTCATTACATAATTTTTTAAGCCAAAAAAATGAAACGATTACGGTAAAAAGTTCAAAAAGCGCCCGTATAATTGTAAAATAAACACTCATAGTAAACGTTGACAAAAATAAATACTTCCAATCAAATAAACCAAGAAGGAAATATAAATTGAGAACGCAAGAAAAACTAGGATTAATGCTTCAAAGAATAAGTCACTTTATACAGAAATCTAACATTCTAAAAACAAGCCATCACAGATACATCGGATCATCATAAGACTGAAAGAACAACTGAACAGAACCAGTGCAGCTACCGTCACCATCCGTCAAATTAGCGTTAATGGTTCTTACATCATTGTCAACACTCTCTTCAATATCTGCTCCACCCACAAGTTTATCTCTTATCATTCGTTCTTCGTAAGCCTCTATTTTGAACCGAAATTTTCTGTCTTTCCTAAAAACCATACTCTTGAAGATGCTGCAACTTACCAAAAAGCGCAAAAAAATACGTGGCGAAATTTATACATGACTGCCTAAATGTCAAAATGAAAAGAAAGATAATAACTCACTGATAGAATATATAACTTTCATTCCAGGTGGCGTCATTGAGATCAGCTGTTGAAGATCGCACTCTTATTTTGTCAATAATTAACATACAGTAAATTCTAGCCGCTAAATTAACGTAAATGAGCAATTTCTCTACCTCTCAGAACCAACAAAAAAATCTTTCTACAATTTGCTCTTTACGATAACCACCTCTACCAACAATATTCTCAATTTCAAAACAAATGCTCAGCAGTTCATATATCTATTAGTACCTCTGTTAGCTTCAAATTTGGCCGCAACTAACGTAACTCTGGTAACGTATGAAACCCGACGACATAGTGTCAGATTACACTTTGGAATATGCTTCTCCAGCTGCTTCGGATAACAGTTTCGTTCGGAATAAATCCGGAACAAAAACTCTGCGTATTCGCGTGGCGCAAAAGTTGTAGGAAGTGCAATGTAACGACCTTTTATTAAATTTTTCAGATGCAAGAAAACTGAGCGAGAACTTGCATAATCTGATGTGGCGATTGCTTCAGTAGGCTAAAAATGATGAAGTATATGACTCACTTTTTCCTAATTTGGAAACCAGTTGTAGAAGAATTCATTATTTTTTCATAATATATATTGCGTTATATTATACTGCACCAATTCATTTTCTGTAACCTTTGTTACCACTGCTGATTATAGTTTTCCAAAAATAACCTGATGCACTCTGTATTTCCTATTACTTTCAACTTTCATTACGTGAATACCGATTGTTACATACGGTTCCCTTGATTTTCCGGTTCTTAATGGGTCTCGCTGAGAAAGTGCCAACATTACTTCGCTTCTGTCCTCAGTAACATCAAAACGATACTGAAGAGGAAAAAGATACAAAGGAACTTTCCATTAGCACCAATCTTGATTTCCTTGAAACAACAGAATATCATAAATTTTTTAAAAATGTTTTCCCCATTACCTGCGGATTAGAACAAAAAGTTGCAAGAAAATTCAAGCAGCCACCGGCACGATCATTTGGTGAACCACTTTTTCCGTCACATTTCCATTCTCCATGAAATTTCCACTCAAAAAAGTTTTTGTGCAGAGGCGAGAGTGCTGTTTCAAACAGTTGACATACGCTGAGATCAGTGAAATATTGCATAAATTCATTCCAAGGCATCCTACAATAAGAGTATCTTATAGTTTAGTACTGGGTAAGATAAGCAAGGCTGCAAAGTAGTTATTCTAACCAAAATTCTCCATCCTCATCAACTGTAATTCCAATAGTCTTCTTTCTTGCGTCAGTTACCTGTAACAGTGCATCAGTTCTAACCGAAGTGGCAACAGTGAAGCACTATTCAAACTTCATAAAAATTTCAGAAACTTCGCTAACCTGTAGCCACTCAGCAGATCCATCTGACCAAGGACCGTTCCACTCCTTCTCCCCCCATGGATTCTGCAGTCTTATCATTTTCTGGTGTTCGGTAAAGTTGGCTATAGGCAACGATAAGTAAGAATGCGCCTGAGATGGCTGTTTTGCATCGAGCTCAATAAGTCGGACAGCAGTTACAGCGTAAGCGTGACCTTTGACTAAACCACAGTCTAGAGATTCCTCAATTTCATCCTTATTTTTCGCCTAAAATACATTTTTTTTTATTTTGAAAGAAATATTTTCTAGTCAAAAATTTGTCTATTCAGCTGTACAGTAAAAATGTGTTGTGCTTTTTTATCCGCTGTGAAATAAACGTGCAGAAAAGGAGCTGAAACTTGCAAGGCTGCTACCGACAGCAATGCACTATTTATTCGTTTAATTAAAAGATCTAAAAAAACTCCTAATTTGTCCGTCAAATTTCAAAAAGTTTTTTTCACTATAAAGAGGAAAAAAGGGAAGAGATGCAGATTTAGCGAGCATGAATTAGATCAGTAAAACTTCTCAAACACTAACTTAGCGTTTATAGGTGCCCATAAAATTAAATACGTACTTTTATAGAGAAAAGTTTTTTTCTGGAAGCGACTTTCAATTTTAGTAAGCAAGAATCGTTCATTTTTATAGAACTAATTTTTTGCATATTCTCCAATTCTTTTTTTTCTATTTTCTCTTTAATTTATTTCTTTACTTTTTTTTAACAGTAAAATACTACAAAAATCCTTTTCAGTAACAGACGGATATGTTCTTTGGGGACTTTTATGGTTTAGAATCTCACATTGAGCGTACAGCGATTGCGGCGACGACGAGAGCTTTACGATCTAAAGCATTTTTGAGCGTTCGAAAGAGTTCTGAGTTAGAGTCTGTCAGGTCCCCGTCAAGGAACTTGGGAATACTAATAGTTTCTGCGACTCCACCAGATACATCTTGTAGAGCATCCGCCAATTGTCCTCCAATTAAGTTCTCATAGCACCCATACAGTCTAAAATAATAAATATTCGTTAAAGATAATAGAAATATTGCTGAAATTCATTATTTGATTGTCTTACTTTTGAGCAGTTTTCTTGACCTGCATTCATACCAGTAACAATTAAAACAAGACTTCAGGAATGCTTAAAGATTACGCCGTAGAGTACTCTCATTTCTACAAGTGAAAAGCGCCAATATTTTACCAGACTAAAGAGAATAAATTAATGAGTTTATGATTTCCTCTTCTCCCTCCTCAGAAAAAAAAATACGCATGCGGCACGCACTTTAATTTTGCGTTGGTTTATGAATGGCGACTGCGATTATTGGAGCCTATTTATTATGTCCGACAAAATCAACCTACTGAAAGCTCACTTTTCTTTCGGAAAATTAAAGTTGAGTCCTTATATAGTTGATATAAATTTAATATACTTGGCAAAAGCTTTCTCCAGTAATGCACTCCAGAATTCGTTCGGTGTTTTGGAACGAGCGAATAACAGCTTGCCATGACGCGTTGGGAGCAAATCGTCAATGACCACCTCGGTCCATTCGTCAAAACGCCAAAAACAAAACCGAAATATGCCACAGTAAGGCTTATCTGAAGACCATTCTTGTTCTTCAGAATCTGGGATCACCTGAAACCACATTCATTTTTTTGTAAATTTTAAAGTGTTACTTGTTTTCCATGAGCAATTTCACCCATACGCGCAGATATTACAGATGACTGTATTCATCTACCTATATTTTTTGCACCACCTAACTTAATTTTGTTAACATCACTGTCATCGATTCTGCTCCAAAAAGTTTAATCCGTTAAACCCCACACAATTTTTCATTAGCTAAACAATGGTAAAATTAGAATGTGGAGGTCGTTTTTTAGATAATTTAGTAGTTATTTCACTGGTTTAAAAGGAAGATTTAACGCTGGTATATGTACCAAAAAAAGAATTACCTAAAGTGAACACTGCACTTGACAGTAGGCTAACAGTTCAAAATACTTTTTTACTAACCTATGTCTTGTCTAATTAATTAATGTTCGCTTGATGTCAATTAAGTTGACAGGAAGCATCAGTTCGTCAAAAATTAAATTAACTATAACAATCAAAGCAATAAATGTAGTTTGATGAGCAACTAGTCTCCAAAATAAAAAGAAATTTACCACTGAGACACCTTTAAATCTCCTATACAACCATTAAACAGTCAAGAGTATTGACTGCAACTTTAGCTTTTTCCCATAGCGCCAGTACTCACTTTAATCTGAGTTTGAAATCAATTGAATCCTACCAAAGGTTAATGTAGAAAAATTCATTTAGCACTTTTTGCTGCTTTCCTTGCAGAAGTTGAAAAAAATTTGGTATTTCTCAGTTGGCGCTATGAATTTCATTTTAAGATAGGTATTAGTTTTGATTGCTGTGTGCGGTTATGATAAAATAAAAGCCGACTATCTTTCCAAAAGGTTATGAATAATTAAAAAATTATTTCTTTTTTTCTTCTCAAAGGGGAAAAGAAAAGACAGCGACGAGTTTGAATAATGCTAAATTTCATCCCTTAAACGCTAATAAAAAATCAAAACCAATCATAATTGATCGGCTTGAAACTCTTTTACTGAAAAGCTGGTAGAAAAAAGAAAAAATGAAAAAAATTTGAGTAATTTTAACTTCCGTACTTTTCAATAAAATTGGTGAAGATATTTTAGCAGTTACTGTAATTCGACATCTCCATAGAGTACTAATAAAGCAGCAAACAAATAAAAGAGTATAACTGAAAAACGGAATAAAGCTAATAAAAGAAAAGAAAACAGTGATCTATGAGACAACCTAAAAGTGTCAAGAAAGCCGTCAGTTTGCTAACTAATA